GCACCAAAACCCACCAAAAGCACGGGGAAAATCTCCCCAGAGCTGGGGAGAAAACAACCCCAAAAAACACCGAAACGAGGGGGGAAACATCTCCCCAAAAAATCCCAAAATCGGGGGGAAAATGGCACCAGAACCCCCCAGAGTTAGGGGTGAAATATCCCAAAAAAAACCTCCAAATTCCCGGAGGTTTCCCGGAGAATTCCCGAGTTTTTCCCAAAGAATTCCCGAGTTTTTCCCAGAGAATTCCCGAGTTTTTCCCGGAGAATTCCCGAGTTTTTCCCGGAGAATTCCCGAGTTTTTCCCAAAGAATTCCCGAGTTTTTCCCGGAGAATTCCCGAGTTTTCCCTGGAGAATTCCCGAGTTTTTCCCGTCGTTCCCGACCTTCGCAGAGCTCCCAGGCCGTCCAGCCGGGGCCGTTTGGGGGGCGCAGCTGCAGCAGCGGGGGCAGGGCCAGGCGGGACCCCAGGAACCCCACGGCCGAGTAGGGGTCCTGCAGCTGGGCAATGGGGTACACCCCTGCCAGGACCTGGGGGAGAAACGGGATTGGGATTGGGGTACAGCCCTGCCAGGACCTGGGGACAGGAAAATGGGATTAGGGTACAGCCCTGCCAGGACCTGGGAATGGGGAAAAACGAGATTGGGATTGGGGTACACCCCTGCCAGGACCTGGGGGAGAAACAGGATTGGGGTACAGCCCTGCCAGGACCTGGGGGAGAAACGGGATTTGGGTACAGCCCTGCCAGGACCTGCACCTTTACAGGTGGGCGGGGCTGGGGTCTCACGTGGAGCTCTGGGGGTGGGGCTGGGGTCTCACCTGGCCAGGTGAGGCTCACCTGGAGCTCGGGGGGCGGGGCTGGGGGTTCCACCTGGCCAGGTGAGGCTCACCTGGAGCTCGGGCGGGGCGCGGGAGGGGAAGACGAGGCCGGGGCAGTCGCAGAGCCGAACCGAGGCCGTCAGGAAATGGGTCTGGAAGTAGCGGGTGCGGCCGGGGGCGCGGGACACGCCCACCGCGCTGCGGCCCAGCAGAGCGTTCAGCACCGACGACTTCCCCGCGTTTGGCAGCCCTGGGCGGGGCGGGACACGCCCACCCTGAGCCACGCCCACCCAAACCCACACCCACTTTGAGCTATATCCCTTTGAACCACACCCACACTAAGCCACGCCCACTGTGCTATATCCCTTTAACCACACCCATGCTAAACCACGCCCACCCGGGACACACCCACTCTGTTATATCCCTTTAAACCACACCCATGCTAAACCACACCCAAAGCCACACCCACTTTGAGCTATATCCCTTTGAACCACACCCACACTAAGCCACGCCCACTGTGCTATATCCCTTTAAACCACACCCACACTGAACCACACCCACCCGGGACACGCCCACTCTGTGTTATATCCCTTTAAACCACACCCAGCTGGGACACACCCACATTTGAGCCACACCCACCCAAGACACACCCAGCTAGGACACACCCACACAGAATTCTGCCCCTTTAAGCCACGCCCACTCTGAGCCACGCCCTTCTGGCCACACCCACTCAGCCACACTTACACTGAACCACGCCCCTCTAAGCCACACCCACTCAGAGACACGCCCTGCTGACCACACCCACACTGAATCACACCCACTCAAAGCCCTCCCCCTAAGCCACACCCACCCTTAGCCCCGCCCCTCACCGACACAGCCCAGGGTCAGCACGCCGTGCCGGTACCGCTCCCACTTCCGGGGCGGGGCCACGCCCCCCGAGCCCTCCTCATCCTCATCTGCATCCTCGGCCACGCCCACTTCCGGCTCCTCCTCCTCCTCCTCCTCCTCCGGGCGCTGCTCCGCCCGATCCAGCCGCGCCCGCCAGCTGCTGAGGTCAACTGGGGACACGGGGGGGGACATTGGGGACACACTCGGGGACACGGGGGGACACTGGGGGGACACTGGGGACATTGGGGACACACTCGGGGACACGGGGGGACACTCAGGGGGACACTGGGGACACTTGGGAGGACACTGGGGACATCCAGGGGACACCCAGGGGTACATCGGGGACATTGGGGACACACCTGGGGACATGGGGGACACTCTGTGGACATTGGGGACACCCGGGAACAGCTTGGGGACATCAAAGGGACACTCAGAGACACCCAGGGGACATAGAGGACACGGAGGGACAGCCAGGGGGGACACTGGGGACACTCAGGAGACACTGGGGACACCCAGGGACAGCCCGGGGGGACATCAGGGACACGGGGGGACACTTGGGGACACCCCCAGGGGACACTCGGGGACCCCCGGCCCCCCCTCCCCTCCCAGAGCCCCCCTTGGTGCCCCCTCCCCGTTACGAAGCTCAGCAGGGTCTGCCCCGGGCAGGGCCTGGATGGGTGACCCCAACCACAGCTGCCCCGCTTGGAGCCCCCAGACCCCCCCGAGACCCCTC